CTTCTGCCACTCAAAAATACACCATGCTGCTTGTTATAAAATAGTGACAGGACATCATGAGTATAACATGACAGCAACCAACAATTCAAGAACAGCCAAAAGAAAATAAGGACTTTTAATCATATGGCATAGTTTCAAATTTCAATATGAAGAAACTAAAGACAGTGGACGCATATTGTCTGGAAAAAAAAAATCATAGATGCAGATTTACCCCTAAATTGCAATGTAAACTCACAGAATTATAAGAAAGCAATAATCATGTTCTACTCTCTAAGAATGGATCACAGAATTCATGACAGCAAGACAGAGAATTGCATACCTAACAATTGTATGTAATATTCCACAGGCAACAGACGACAGCTAAAAATGATCACTAAAACCAGTCTATGATCATGACATCATTCCTCCTTGCTCCACCAAAGTTCCTACCTATTCACATCAAATATCCTTGCACCCACCAACTGTCAAACTACTTCAGCTCTCCACCAATTCTTACACTTCCATCTTCCCCAAAGAATAGACTGCCAAGGAAGTCCCCTCGGAACAACCACGACCCAATGTCACTTCATTAACCAATGAAAACACGGAAAAATCACACCCACGTCACAATCGTATTCAAGGAACAAAGCCAAGAATACTAGCGTTTAACTCTCAAGTGAAAACTTAAATTCAATTGGGCTTCAAATTATTTTCCTATATTCTTAGCTCAATAACAAAATTCATCCAAATAACCACTTATCCCCAATTGAAAGCAAGACAAAAAACCATTAAAATCTCATCCAGTCACCCAAATGGCTCATGCCAATGCTGAAAGGCCAAAAGCAGGGGAAGAATGGTTCTCAAAACTCAGCCACAAGAAGGAAAAAGTGACCAAACTTCACTTCTACTTCCACGACAAGTAATAAGTTTGCAGAATTTCCATATATACATGTGAAAAAGTAATACCATGAGACATTGACCAGCTCTAAGTTTGAAAAGTTTGAACATCATCAAGAAATAGGTGTCCATCGGATCATTATTTTTTCATGAAACAGCAACTACGCCTCATACAGTTTCCTTCAAGCTTTAACACAAACAGTTTGTATGCATCATTTCAACTGATTTTTTTTCAATTTTTTGCCTTACCAGCCTTGCATTTACGATAATTTAAATGCTGTAGCAGTTAAGATCATTTAGAAGTAGGGCTCCTATGTAGAAGGCTTGCCACGATAGATTAGGGCTCAAGTAAAAATAAAATAAACAATCAAATCGAATAATAAATTTGCAAACGAAAATGGATCAGATTTGAGTATTTTTGACTAAATTTACCTACAAATTATCTGTTTGTTCCTTGTCACAAATCTTGCAGCGGGCATCTAGTGTGCGGGAGAGAGACGAGATGCGAAAGAGAGCAACGCACGGATGTCATCCATCCGGTTTTTAAAAGCCACAGACCTGAAAGTTGAGAGAGCGGGCTCTTGGATTTGGGTTATTACTATGTGGGCTGGCAATGGAAAATATGTTGCTGGATTTGGCAATGTCTAATTTCATGATTTGTGGGATTAGGTATTTCTTTGGAATAGGAATGAAATTTAAATCCTGCAAATAAAACATTAGAATGGACTTTAACATGGAATGCCATGCCATTCCTAACCCTAACCTCTAATACCATGTATCAAACGTAGTATAATAGAGTCATTTCGCTGTATACCCCTATACCCACAAATATATAATACCTATATCCTCACACTCCGATTCTCTCTCTCTCTCCTCTTTCTTTAAATTTGTTACAATATATGTAGTGATTTTATAATTTTATGTCATTAGATTGAAGTGGACTCTACTATTAGTTGAGACCGACTATCAATTTAATGGTTCATCACGTCACCAAGTAAGGTTACTAATTAGGAATAAAAAACATTTCTAACAAAAATAAGTAATCACACGAGATGGAAAGAGCCAGAGCCTCTAGCTGACTTGCCAGATTCCATTTCTCCTAATGAACAGCCTCTTCTATCTAAATAGACATTAATGGCCAAACTCCCAAACTAGAGAACATCAAAGACTCCCTTGTGAAATCTTAATTCCAAAGATGGAGTGAGGAAGCGCAGAAACCCGAATAACCTCCGGCACAAAATGGCAAGGCGCATGAAGGACAAAAGGAACATTCTTGTTGAGGTAGTGATATTAGAATTTCTGCAACATGCAACATTCTTGTTCTTTTCCACTTAATTTCCTCTACTCTGGAAGCACTAATAAATGTAGCAAAGAATGGGACCATAAGATATATAGTAACCATAGGGTACAGAACAAGTAGCCTTCAAACAGAGAAGCCGCACCAGCATTCCATCTCCAGAAGTTAGGGTTGCAAAAAATAGTTTCAATGGTGTTGGCCTCAAATATTTATCCAAAATTTGACTGGTTGATTTTCAAACACAAGGAATCAATAAAATAATCAAAATATTCACAAATAGGGAAGCTTCTCATCATCCCAACAAATTGAGAAGGACAAAAAGGAAATAAATCTTTATACTTGATGAAGTAAGAAAGATGGACAAAATTTCAGACTCCCCATGCATCTGATTCTCAGTGTATGCTAGAAAACTTAGCCCAACCATTTTTTTGGCAATTAACTAAGCCTCCTTTCATTTGACTCGAATGTTGCCACTTCTGTCTTTCTTGCCTATAGAGGGTTTTGTTGGTTCTCGTGCATCACTTGCAGCATGCTTCTTACGCCTCCCATTGCCAACTACAATGGGATCTACCAAAGGACCTGACCAATTTTGAACAGTTTCTTTTGAATACGTGAAAGAGGTGGAGCTAAATGGCACATCAGGAGGAACAAATGCAGGATCAATGTGATGTGAAGCACCCAAGGGAACACCAAGTCCTCCGTCCTGGTGTGGTGGAGGAAACTTCTCGCTCTTGCTTTTAGCATTGGCATGGGTAATTAGACGTCGTCGCTGCTTAATAAACAAATTTGAACAATTAAAAGCAAGCAAAAATATGAAATAGGGTAAGATTCACATTGCATCGGTAGTAATGTAAATCTCCAAGTACCGGTCAGGTATCTTTGGAAAGCAACAGACAACTTTAAGCACATTCACAAATATCACATCAAAGTTTGCAGAATGGCTACCAGAAAAGCTCAAGTTTATTCAATAAAGAAAAAGCTTTAATTGTGCGTCTATTCTCGTATCTCGATGATACCATTAGTTGCAAAAATTAACATTTGAGCTCCACATGAGCAGCAAGCTTAATTATTCAATGATTTACATCTTGCACAAATGAAACAATGCCCAATTAAAACCCCCCCCCCCCCCCCCCAACAACAAAAAACAACACACCCACAGAGCCCAGGGGCATATTCCACTTTAGGAGAAGAATACGTTCCTCTTATCACAGCCTTATTGATTAAGAAAGGCATCATTAGATACCTCTTAAGATGAGAAAAACCCGGGGGGGGGGGGGGGGGGGGGGGAGAGAGAGAGAAGAATGCAGGGGCATAACTAGCTTTGCACCTTAGAGAAGCATATATTCCTCTTCTCAGAAAGTGATTAAGCAAGGCATCATGAGATAGCTCTTACAATGATAACTAGTACATGATGTTTTTAGCAAAACCACTAGTCCAAAAATTTGACAGCTTTACAATTTTTTTGACTCTATTCTCAAGCCTTTTTTTAAATCTTTCAATTTTTGAAGTCAGAAACACAGCATGAGTGCATTTTTTTTCTTTTTCTCTCTCCTTCCTTTAATATCTCAAACACAACACAGAATAGCAGCACTAAATTTGCCAGAAATTTCAGAACCAACTTCAAATAATTTCATTGGAAGGCTTTAAAATATATTGATTTCTCCTTGTTGAGCTCATTTAGAAGTCTGCTCATCAACATTGTTGATAGACATATATAACCAGTATAATTGGTCAAAGACAACCAGTAATCTTCCCAGAAATTAATATACAATTTCAAAGTGCCAGCATACATAAATTCTGAGTGCATGTGTTATGGATTGGACATTGAACAATCACACTTTTTCTTTTTCTATTGTTCCCCTCTAATTTCATGGACACAAATTTTAGCCCTGGCTATACAAACTTTTGTAGTCAAAATAAACATGAAAATTGGTGACCAATTTGTCTAATTCAAAGGTTAATCTCCTTACCAAAACTTCAAAATATATTATTACTATTTCATCTAATCCTACAAATGCCACCCTCCAGGGAAAACGTCAGTTATAGTATTATAGTCTCAAGGTTTGCCACATCAGAAAGTAATTAGATCAGCCTATTTCCAACAAAGTATTGCTAAAGTAAACTCGCATATATTAATTAGTAGGCCCTTGAAGATTTCTCCACTTGAATAAGAAAATCGAAATGGCTTGTATCTAGCCTAGACCTCACCAGGTTTCACAACTTAAATGGCAAACTACCAACAACTCTATCTAATTTTGACTTTCTCCAAGATCCACTTTCTTTTTCCGGCAAGTCCGAAGGAAAATTTCACCCGACTTTTTCCAATAAGTCAAGAGGGAACATAAGTTTTGTATTGTCATTTCCATTCTGATGTCCAGAAAAAATTGTCACCCGTTTTAATTCCAATTTCAGTAACAAAGGTGTCATAGCTTCAAGTTTCAGTCTGTCTTTTCCATTTGTTTATATTGCTCAATTTCTTTGTTTTTTTTCTTCTAATTTTTAAATATAATAATAACTAATGTAAAACAGAAATTAGTTTTTATTGCTACCAAATCATCCATGTTTCATCATCTTTCCACGAAATATTACGATATAATGCTCAATCATCACATTTTACATTGCTTTCTCTTGGGAAAAAACAGAATATTCTGATTAGCACACATTATTCTCACAAGTTTGCACTAAATTAGCAGAATTGAAATAATTATAAAAGAATAATTGTTGAAAGAACAAATAGATAAGACATACGTCCAGATTAGACTGAAGCTCAGCATTGGCTTCTGGAGCAGGAATCGCCCGTGCAGCTCGTGTGCGTGTTTTCTTGGAACTATCACCTTGGGCTTTACTAGCAGCTCTTAGCCTGCAGAGGCAGGAAATTTAATTATAGTAGCATGTAATTAGTGGAAAACACCTGCCTAAGTGCACTTAAATGAAGGAAAAAAAACCCAGAGAACGTGTTCAAAATATGTTGCGTTGGCCAATCCCACCACTTAACAATTATGATATCAAAACCTAAAGGCTCGTTGCCTTCAGCTGGCAGAGTTTCAGTCCACCATCTTCATAGCGAAGTAAATTCTTGGTTTACATCCTTAATATCAGGTTTTAAGAGTTCAGCCACAGGGTGTGGGTGCAATACATACTATGTTGCAGCAGTGCTCCATCATTCTGTTTAGTTGCAACTTGCAAGGAATTTCCCTTCGGTTCCTCTTCCCCCACAACCAAAATAAATAAATAAAAATAAACGATCAAAAAGAACAAAAAAACACAGGGAAATAGCAACTCCAAGAAAGAAGCATCCATACACTAATGCACATCTATACAATCTACATTTTCACCAATGTATACAATGTAAAAATGACATCTTTCGAAATAAGCACAATATTTGAAATGACTCCCCAGAACGAAGCACAATTTTCTAAATCAGTCTCTTGGGTACAAACAGATTATAGAAGCTCTCATGGGCAGAGCCACTTTGATGGAGGGGGAGCACTTACCCCCTTTGAACTTTTAAGAATTGCTGAACGTTTACTGCTACAAATACCAAGATTTTCCTCAATTTAACACATTGTCCCCCTTGATTTTTGAATATCTATACTGTGACCCTAGTCCTTTTTCTTTTTTAAGCAACTCAGTGGCTTACTGTTGACCCCCAAATCCCATTAAACAAATGTTTTATTTTTGGACTACGTGAAATCAATGCGAAATGCTCTGACCTTTATATATTTGGATCACCTCTCGTTTATTTAGCATACAGATTACAGCCCATATCTTTAAAAAAAAAAATTGTGAAGTTTCTATTGACTCTTTTTTGATAAGTTACTAAAACATGATTAGATGCAAATGGTGAACTACCCTAAATCGAGAGAGCTTTTTGTTTTTCCATAAAAATAATATCTCAATAAGATCGAAGATGATCTCAATTAGAGGTCAAAAAAAAATCAATGATGATTTTATCAGACTTTCTATGTGTATACATTGAAAGGAAATTTATAAAATCTTTACTACATGATAATTATATATGATTCAAATTTAAGAGAACATTGTGTTCCACTTTAGTATATTATTCATACTAAATTCATGATTCATATACTAAGTTATTCATGAATCTTAACATATTTCTCATACTTATACTTAAATTTTTTATGTTTAGTTCCTATTTCCTTGTTCAAGTTTGCCCTTCGATAGAATCAGGGCTCTGCCCCTGGAAGCTCTGCAATGCAAATTTAATAAAGAATTCTCACCTTCGAGCTTCATCATCCCGCTTTTTGGCATCCATCTCTTTGCTTGGAGGATATTGTGGGAGGCTAGAAGGATCACAAGCGTAAGGTTCTGTAGTAAATAGCTGCATGGGGAAAAATAAAACTAAGGACATCAATAAAGAATTCATGTTATTTTACAACAGATATATGTGTGAACACAAGGAACTTCATAAGTAATGTTAGTTTCCCATTTTTTCATATTATCAGAATCTAGTTAAATGATGAATTTCTGCCCTCAATTTAAATTATGATCGATATGGAGCTTTATCATCTTCTTCAATGAAAACTCCAATTCCTGTACCATCCACACAAAATGCAGTAATGATGCATATCTTTGTAGATACTGAAACTTTGTAGATACTGAAACTTAATATTCCTAATGCAAACTAATTTGTCCAAAATCACATCTTTGCAACACAGCGTCAAGGTTCTTCATCTTCAAAATCTCTTCTATGCTGTCACAGCACAGTGCTTTGGAAGTTTGGATCGTCCATATTCTGAGCATGGCATCATATATCATTTTGAATACATCACTATTCCAGTCATACATGTTGAATAAGTCCAAAAATTCCCAAAACTTTCAGTCACTACTGAACCATTAAATAGAAACAAGCTATAACAACATTAGCATCAAAGAAAAACACTAATATAAACCTGATGAGGAATAAAAACTGTTAAAATTAACAGAAGGATCACAAAAATGAAAACGCTTACTCCACTACTTAATGCATCGGTCGCAGTATTGCGGTCTGCTGGGTCAATTGCAAGAAGAGTATCAATCAGTGGCAGAGACGATTGTGGGAAGTCCTTAAATGTCTCTTTTATGCATCGCTTGTAAGGTTCTCGGGGCTTAAATAATGTTGCATTAGGCAACTTTGACTTTTTCCAATATTCTTCAGAAGGGGAGCCACATAGCTTGTATATCTTATGCAGTTGTTCCACCTTAGTAACAAAAAAAGATCATTGTCAATGCCCGCCCATATTTGCGACAGCTTAAAATAAACTAAAATGTAGGATTCTACCAAAAAATTTCATTATAAAATTTTAAGCACGAGGTTTCTTTGAACAAATGCCCCACTTCAAAACAACGAAAAAACAAACCAGTGACGTGTGCAAAAACAACAATCCATTAACTGCATATAATTTCTATGTCACTAGAATACCCATGCTAGAAGAGTCCGTCATACAAGCTTGTATCTATAATTACAGCCAATGCAGTTGACTACATGCTACCTGGATAAAACAATTTACCAATGCAATTACATTAATCTCTATGTCAATGCTAATGTACAATCGATAATACAAATACACAGACTCAATTCTCCAAGCTATAAAATTCTATTCCATCAGGAAAATATGAAAAATCCATTACTGTGTAATGGCAATGCTTATTTAAGTACATAAGCTTTTAGTGCAGAACATCAGACAACTAAAGAATCATTTTGGAAACAGCAAAAAAAGAAAATGATTATGCAGTGATATAAATGGACCACAAACAAACATATCTTCATGGAACCTCAATGCAAGCCACTCCAATCCAGAGGATGAAAAGCTATAAAAAATTGAGCAATACTTGAAACTCCATCAATAATGCACAATGAAATGACCAAGCTGCTTAATCATTGTTGCCCCCTTCCAGTAACTTTAAGGTGTAAACCATCTTTCACTAATCCTATGGCAAAATCAAAGCTCACTCCATGCTTAGCAGCTCTCCTTGTAGCTTTCTGGCTTCCATTATTGATCGGAAAGCCACAGATCATGGGTTCAAGAATTGGTGCAACATGTAATTGTGATACAAAAATGGTACACTCAAGCTTAGAGAAATCGTGTTGATATGAAGTTTGAGAGATATCCCAACCATGTGACAGTCAATACTGACTTCCATTCAAAGTATTTAAAGAAATGTGAGTTTATGTATCAAAAAACATAAATATCCAACCAAATTGGAACCTCACATGCACCACAAATATGTAAGGCCATATGGCGAAACCAAACTTAACAGAATACTGAATAAAGCAAGAATCACTAAGGAGTATAAGAATAGCACTTTGTAAGCCACGTAATGTTTTATCTTGAATCTTTCATCGCATCATATCAAGAAAATATCTCTGATATCTGAAATACTCGAAATAATATTCCTATATGATACACATTTATTTTGACCATGACAATGAACAAACTACTCCATTCAGTTCAACAAACTAATCTCAGTCTACAGAATCTCACTGCATGCTCCTCCACTGTGAGCTCTGCCAGGTAATATATTCAATAGGCAATGGACATCATTTTTTCCTTTACAACCTCAAGATATTCTTCCAGCATTCCTCATGTTCTCATAAAGCCTTTAAGTTGAACAAATGACTTCTTATCGCAGTATTCATCAGTCTTTACCGCACAATACGACCAGCTTATCTTGTTGCTATGTTCGGGGTCCACCAACTATTCAAATACGCATATATACCAAAATTGATCCTTTCTTGTCCTTCATCTTATTATATAAGAATTTAGAGTCAGATACACTTTCTCCAACGAGCATGTTTAGCAGTCCAGCACTTGATGACATTGTCATCAAATGATTCTACATTCTTCTAAGAGTATTCCCTTTAATCTTCATCCATAACACAAAACCTAATGAGCCCTTGCACACTCCAAACATCTTGCTACATTCTACGCATTATATTGTTCAAGAAAAATAAGTAATTTGAAAATGTTGTTAGCAATTTGTATTAAACAATCAGACACACCAAAGCTTTTGAACTCATGTTTTCAAGTATTACTGCATTTGAGTTAAAATAGTACAGGACAAAAATGACAAGAGTCCAATTGTCAATTGGTCTCTGGCATGTTGGTCTCCATCTTGGCACAAGAGGGCAACCATAAATTAAGTCATAACAATAAAAGAAAAGTAAGGAAAAAAAAAACGAACCAACCAGCAAAATATTAAGTTTTGAAAAATCCCCAAATGGTTGAGACAAGGTTTGCTGACTTGTCATTATTAATAAGTGCTGGGAAAGTACATTTATAAATATCATGGATACTTATCAGAAAATTGCAGTATTATTGTAATATGGTACTAATACCCATGAGTCTTCTGAAAGTTATAAGTTCTTGGGATCAAGTGTAAGATAGCTGTGCCAGTACCAGATTTCAGTATGGGTCCAAGTATCTAGCATCCATAGAACCCCAATTTTGAAGTAGTTGGGTAGAATGTCCATTTACTGTGATGTGTATTAATCTTGAGGTTTGTTTTCATTTATTTGTACTTTCTCTTTTGCTTCACAAGTACTACATAATAGATACCACTTCTCAAAAGGAATGTGACAAGTTAATTCATTAATCCAAGCCAAGTGTCAGAGGTTCGTCCTACTCATATTCCATCACTTCACATCGAATACATATCCAAAACTTGACTGCATTGAATATTTTTTCCTTAATTTAATTTCAGTTATGTTCACTAAATTTTATCTTGCATAAAAGAGAATAAGATTTTGTCAACAGTTATTGCTGACATAATTCCACAGCACCAAAAACAAATGATACATCTTTAGTATTGAAGAAGCATCAATTTTAACTATGTAACACCAAACATAGATAAAGGTAAAACCTCGAATTCAAAATTTAAGAATTGTGTTAAGTACCTCAGTTCGACCAGGCATGATGGGCTTCCCAGCCAATAATTCAGCCAAAATGCAACCTGTGCTCCACAGATCTATACCTACACCATAATCAGTAGCCCCAAGAAGAAGCTCGGGGGGCCGATACCAGAGCGTAACCACCCGACTAGTCATAGGGTGTTTGCGATTAGGATCAAAAATTGTAGCCAACCCAAAATCAGCTATTCTAAGTATTCCATTGTTGTCAAGAAGAAGGTTTGACCCTTTAATGTCACGGTGGAGCACACCACGACTGTGACAGTGCTCAAGTCCAGATAAGAGCTGATGGATGTAACACTTAACCTGCAACAAGAACAAATACAAATACAAAGACATTATATTGGGTAATTTGCTATACAACCAAGGCAATTAAACAAAATTAAAGTAACTCCAGTTACAAATAACAAGAACTGCTTGGTCTCACCTGCGCTTCAGTAAACCTAATCCCTGGGCTAGCAGCAAGTCCAGCCAAATCATGCTCCATGTACTCAAACACCAAGTATAAACTACATGACATTCTTGAAGTAACCAGACCCTCCAACTTAATAACATTAGGATGATCCAGTCGTCGCAAAATGATAATCTCTCTGGCCATAAATTTCACACTTTCTGGTTCCAAATTATCAAACCGGACCTTCTTTAGTGCAACAATTTTACCTGTAATAGTATCCTTTGCTTTGTACACGTTACTATATGTTCCTTGTCCAATCTAAAAAATGTTAAAAAAATACAATTAGATGACATGGAAGCGAAACCATTAACATTAAGACCAAAAACAAATACCAACAAAAAATCAACAACTCACCTTATCAATTTTCTCAAAACTGTCAGCACGTCGAGGAAGCCAACCATCGATTGCTTCCCCAACAACAGTGGAAAGCCAAGATGGCCATCCGGCAGCAACTTGCTCCCCGTGTTTATGCTTAGGGGGATTACTCATCCTCGGATTCAGCACCAATCTTCTCCTCTCAACCCTCGGCCTTCCAACACCTTCCACCTTCTCCTCCTTCTGGGACCCACCATTACCAAACCCAGCATTTCCGTTATCAATTTCTGTTGTTGCTGCGACATCTAAAGTATTACCAGATTCAACAGCGCCAAGACTGTAATTCTTCTTTTGGTCACGATGTTCAGCTTCTCTCCTACTTCCCTTAGACTCATGAACTATGCCTGAGGTAACCTCTCGACTCAGAACACACCCCATTTGCTAAATCTATATTTCATTTCTCAACATTTTCTATAAATAATCCCGAATTACCAATTAATCACCGCAAATCAACCAATCTATAATTTATAAAAACCTGCAAAAAAATAAAAAAAATAAAAAAAACCAACAAATATCAATACACAAACTCTCTTCATTTGGCCACAGAACTCTCAATCCACACTTCATTGGTCAATAATCACGCTAAAACAACACATTTACACACCGAAAGACATGTATATAGATAGATAAATACATAAAATGATTAAAAAAAAAAAACCCTAATGCAGGAAATGATGAATTAAGCAGAAAGAATGAGAAATAGAGCTGAATTTACTGACTTGATTGAATCTGAGGCTAACTCAGAGAGAGGGAAAGAGAGAAAAGCTCCTGTTTGGTTAGCTGTTCTATATTCTCTCTCCAAAGTCTTCCGGACTTCCAGTTTCTGGGCCCCTGGACAAGAAGGTATAAAGAAGTAGTCGTAGTAAAAGCCATCGCAGCAGCGCAGCTATACATGTATAATTTGCCGATTTCTGCGAGTCAAACCTCCACTGTGGCACTATTTTATGATCACGTCCGAGATTTAACGTAACTACGTGCCCAAAAAGAAATAAACTAGATTTTTTTTCAACTTTTTCTAATTTTTAAAATAATTTCAATTCGACACAAAAAAAAATTAAAAATTCTGATTTTTTGGTTCTTTATATATTTTTTAAGTTCTAAGATAAATCTAAACACAGTTCTAAGATTGTTATATTATAACTTAAAAGTTATGGGAATTAGTTTTTGTACAAATAAAGTTGAGATCATTGATTACCTCTATTTGAACAAGTTTTTAATTATATTATAAATTTGCACCGAGTACTAAATTTAGAATTCTAATTTTACTTTATAAGAGGCAATGAAAATTGAACCTTGATTTTAAGAAGTTTTAATTAATTATAAAATAATTAAGATGAATTATTAATCACACAAGAAATTTGAAATTAAATATAGGCTTTTTTATGATATGGTGCATTTTTTTATAAGACGTGGCTTAATTCTTTGAAATTTTGATTAATTGGGACATGGGACGGATATGCAAAAGGAGTTTTTGAAGAAATTTTTTCGAGTATACAAAATCACATATTTGAGGTAACTAGCAATGTAACACGTGCATTGCACGTGAAAATTTTCGTTAAAATATTTGATGATATACATAAAAATTTAATTGTACAGTTAAATTAGATATTATCTCGTACTTATCATACTTAAATTGTTTGCATTGTGGATGTAGAGAAAAAGATACATATATCAATTTTTTGACACCGGAGATAATATTGTATCAATAAAGTTGTCAATGTGTATTAATATTAGAGTTTTGAAAAAAAAAAATATTTTTATATATATCCTGTTAAGAGTAGCATGATTATCTAAAAATTTTGTAAAAATAGAGATTTACATGATACGTTAGAGGTTAGTTTTTTATTTAAGTATAGAGGGATATAATGATACTCTGCATATTATTTAAATATAAAATGATATGTTAGTCTTTATAATTTTTTGTAAGGGCAAAATAGTGAATCAAAAAATTTTCATGTAAAGTACTTTTATTAGTAGTATACCAGTAGGTATTGCCCTCTGGACAACACCTATCTATACTAGTTCTACTGGTATGTTTTACTCAGAAATGTCTATTTAACTTGTTTTTCATTTCCCAACCCATTCAAAGTCATTCCCACACCATCCAAAACATGTTTAATAAGGTTTTTCACATAAAACCTAATATACACAAGGTCTATTACAATTAATTTCATATGATTACAAACCCAAAATATACTTTTCACCAATTTATATAATGGTTTTACAAAAAAAATAATTCAAGGCCACAAGTCGGTCTTTCCTCGTCACTGGGGCCCCGAACGTGAGCTGATTCGCACTTTTTAGTGATCGGATTGATATTATACACCAAAGTATAAGTGGTCGAATTGTAGTTTTCTCGGTTTTAAGTCCAAGTATCGATCACACGAAGAGTTTTAATAATTTGGAAATGAAATAAAATAGTTAAGTTGCTAATTTGAATAGGACAGGATGTGATAGTTTATGATGTGAGCTTAGATTAATAACTAGTCTAAATAAATAGTTATGCGCAGATAGAGTAAGACAATAATAAAAAGTATCCTTCAGTTCAAGGATCTCATATGCGTCATATTGGTTAAATACTGAAAATGCTACCTTACAGCAATCAACTTCCATTTTACTGGCAAGTCAATTGGTGGGTCTGATGTATATAAACCACCACACAAAAACTTCTTAGGTTAGCTGGTGGTATTACTGATTAATCCAAGCAAACTAGAAGGACAAGCCATTCATGAGAAATATTTGAATTATTCATTTGTCTTCATAATAGTTGGTGCATACATAATAAACCATAATACAACCACTTCTTAGGTCAACTGTTGGTAGTAGTTATAACACAACAACTTCTTAGGTTAGCTGGTTATAGATATGTCAATTGATTAATCCAAGCAAACTAGAAGGACAAACCATTTCATGAGGAATACTTGAATTATTCATTTGACTCTATCTGTGATATATATATACCAGTTAAACATCCTCAGCGTTCCGGTGGAGGACAAGCCATACCGATAGGAATGCCGTGGTTGTTAGACTGACAATATTATCCTTTATACTAGTTAAACGATCTGAGTAATCTAGAAGGACAAGCCATTCATGAGGATCACTTAGGTCATTCATCTGATATATATATATATATATATATATATATATATAAGTTACTAATAACCCAGAAGGATCATTTAGGTTTTGTACCATGTATCAGTTAACATCCTCAGCGTTCCGTTGGAGGACTAGCCAGACCGTTAGGAATGTCGTGGTCGTTTTATCGGTAGGTTGATGATGCACTGATGATATACTTCCAGGCACAACACCGAAAGTATGTACATCACTGTATCATGCATGAAGTATAAAATACATAGATATATAAATATATAAAACATCAGCATTTCTAAAATTTAACTAGTATTATACATATGTTTACCTCTCACTAGAGGATATATGGAACTACTCACGCCCCATTGCTACAGACAAGCAAGGAGTGCAAGTAGTTTTCATTATAACTAAAATAAAATACAGAATCTAAAATGTCTTTCACAAGGAACAACTGAAACACAATCACCTTTATTATCAGTTAAAACACAAAAGGTGATGGTAGTTCAACTATCCGAATAGAAAGATACAACCGAAATGTAAAAGTACAAAGTTTGGACTGAAGTGCATCACAGACCCGATCGTTTTTGCAACTTCTCTTTTTCTCTTTCTCTTTTCTCTCTCTGTAGCTCTCTTATTTTTCTCTTGGTTCTGGCCTACTGAAGACTGAAGAGGGAGATGCCTATTTATAGAGGAAGGGGAAGCATGAGCTGTGAGCCGCCAAAGGGGACCGTCCGGACGGTGGAGCTTTGCTGGATTTGCAACTTGCATTATGCGGACTCTTCATGTGTGGAAATTACACTTGAGCCTTCATAGTTTCAAACTTTTATGCTTTGTTCCTTGTATTCTTTGATAATTTTGCATTAAACCTTGAAATTTGGACATAAAATATTAAAAACCCTAATTCCCGCACAAAACCCTAATTGATCATAAGTTCTTGTTTTTAGTTATTTTATCACACTAATTCGACTTTATTAACTATTCTAATTTACAAATTAATTAAGGTTAATCACACTCCCCAACTTAAACTTTACTAGTCCCTAGTAAAATTTAAATAAACTATTAACACAATATAATACAAACAGAGGTAAAATCATTTTCATAGATTTTTTTCACGATTGCATTTAGCATATGCAACAAGCGTTTAAACCCTTAGGTGATTCCTAGTGGACAAGTTTGTCTCATGAAGGTTTTCAGTGAAGCTACCTACAAACTTCAGTAATTAGGAATTCATAACTCATATTTTTCATAAGTAAAATTAAATTAATATTCTATCTGTCTTGTCAAGATACTTCCTTCTCTAATCACTATAAGAGTAACACACGTTAGTTGCAATATTATCTATATATTTTTATAAAAACTTGTGTGTGTGTGTGTAATGATTTCTTTATTTTCAAAAATCACTTGAGAAACATTATCCTCTTTCCTGGTAGTTTTGATGTCAATCCTTCCTTGAAATACACTCAGCAAAAAGAACACACCTGTTATAGTGACTTATTCTCACAATCTACATGTGATTGGAATATAGTTAACAAAGCAAATAATTTCACATATAGTAATCAAAAGAGCGGTTAGTTGAATAAAGTGAAATTTGACATAATCTCATGAAAGAATATTAACACTATATTAAATATACTATTAACATTTTCCTTTTTAGAATTGATAGAACTAATACAAATATATGAATTCTGGAATAAAAAAGGACTTTATTAAGGTTGTAATGTGGCCATGGGTTTAAGATTTATGAAACGAAGTTATTGGATATCAAATGCTATCTTTTAGTATTGTGGCACATGTCACGCCCCAAATTTCCACAAGCTCGAGGAGCGAGTGTAAAGGAAGAAGAAAAGTAAATGAAAGGTCATTGGTTGGGATAAATTGGTTTCTCATTCATTTCCCATGTTTTTCCAATGTTTTTCAAGCAATTTTTCTTCAATTTTTAGCCTCTTTCTTCAAGGTTTCTAAACCCCTCCCTTTGACATCCTTCCCACCTATTTAAAAGGTGTTTTACACAGTTAACAAGTCTTTTAATTTTTTTCATAAAATTTTGCCATAACCTCCTTTGTTTCCAAGACTTTTTCCCACCTAATATTCACAATATTTCATATGCATTATTATATCACAACCCACCCTCACTTGGTGGTCACAATCTATGTAAATTAAACATACATTCCTTGTTCTCAATGTACACGTCTAATTGTCCCAATATACACATATAATACTCATGACATAAGAGATATCCTACATATCAATTGGGTTTACACCCTTACATTTTAAAATGACTCAAGGTCACAAGTCATTTGGGCTTATGCCCATACATACAAAATATGCCCAAAGACCAAATATACATTCAAGTCCCTTTTCCCTCCTTCCTTTAAGACTTCATCAAGTCTCAAGTATCGGGAGCCTCATCTGTAATATGATATCCCATGAATGGGTCAGCTCAACTGCTGGTATGACAAAAGGCTAATGCTAGGAACAAATTTAAGGCATGGCATGTGCAAGTGCAAATTTTAAAAATTAAAACCCCATAATCCTTTAATGCTATGCAATGTCAATATGCATGACACACTCATGCAACTCTATACCACCCATGTCTTGCTTCACAGTCCGACCCCGTTAGCCCGCGAGTACTGTCATTGGCCAAATTTTGGGGTTTTCACCACAGGATCTACACCCTCATAATGCATAGCACCAAGTGCTCAACCCACACTATGTTTCAAGGATTCATGTATATCAAGATGCCTTGATTTTTTTCAATGTGCATTCTATGAAATATTTCATCAAACACCTTATCTACATGAATGTGAAG